CCCCAAAACCCCCAAAACCCCAAAACCCCAAATGGGTAAATTCCTCAATATTAAGGGAATTAATAAAATATTTATAGCCTTAGAAAATGCATTTGTCAAGATACTTGCTAAGAAAATCTCTACCAATTTCCTCTTAGTTCTAAACAGCACAGCAAGTGGTAGCTCAAAGACTATTCAGTGGTTAAGCTGTATCACCAAAGCTTGTAAAGCAGTTGAGAGAACTCACCGGAAGTCCGTTGAAGGATTGCATGAAGACTTTGGATGAGACTAAGGGAGATATTGAATAAGCTAAGGAGTTGTTGAGAAAAAGAGGATTAGCAGACGCAGATAAGAAAGTAGGAAGAGCAACTGCTGAAGGTTATGTAGGAATGAGACTAGACAGATAGAGCAGATTGTTGACTATGGTTGAATTGCATTGCGAGACTGATTTTGTTGCTAAGACAGAGAAATTCAAGGAGGGACTAGACAGAGTGATTGAGACTCTTCACAAGCAAGGGAATGCTCTTCAGTTTGGACAAACAGATATGAGCAACCAAGACAGAATAAATCAGATAGCTAGAGAGCTCAAACTTAGCAAACCTCTTGACTCAGATCTTCAATCCTAAACCTTAGAAGATGGCATCAAATACATAATTAGCAAGACTCAGGAAAATTGCAAATTAGCTAAGATCTATTAAAGAACATGGAATCCAGAGGAAGGTCAAATTATGCACTCTTATATCCATAATCCTCAGCAAATCAATAGTATGCTGTTTGGAAAGCTAGGAACAGCCATTGTAATTGATTTCATATGTCTTATTCATATTATAGCTAATGCAAACCAATGACAAGAAACACAACGGAGAAATTTAGGATTTGGCAGAGTCGTTAGCTCTGCACATCGCAGCAATGAAGCCAACCTACTTGAATAAAAAGGAGGTGCCAGAAGATTTAAAGAAGAAGTTGAAGGAGGAGGGACCCAAGGATTAAGCACTTTGGAAGATGTATAACAGAGATGTGCTAATGGAGCAAGAATTAGCTACTACTGAGGAAAGTATCAAGGTTAAAACGTTGATGAGATAGAGAGAATCTGAAATATTCACCCCTATTCTTATTAAAGAGTGGGCTTTCTTCAATATTGGAGCTTGAAAAAAGTTAGTTTAATTTATAGAATGATGTAAAGTTGTTGGTTGATAAATGAGATAGAAATGTTTAGAGATATTTTATTAACCTTTAATAATTAATATAATCTTTGTACAATGCTTATCATTAAGAAGTTAACCCACACCTTCATCGCTACAAAACCTGGAATCGACTTTCGAGCTGCCAGATATAATATGGGGAGCTTATTGTTAAATCAATAAAAGTAGTTGAGTAAAAGATTAATCTGTAATTGGCACGATAATGTATTTAAATTATTCAATCTTATTGGTATAATATAAAGTAAATTAAAAACACTATGGAAACTCATACCCATACTCATAACGCTACTAATGCCAATCAAGCACAAAACTCAAGTAGAATCAATTAATTTTTATATGATATAGATGCCCCAGCTAGATTGCATGTTCTCAACTCATTCAGCAAGACTAAGGTAAAATCTATTACTCAAAACTTTAATAGGAGCTATTTGTGCCCAATCATTCTGATTAAAATGTGGTTACCTGGTACATGTGTGGGCCGACTGTTTACGACGATTCCCATATTGGCCATGCTAGGTATTGATTATGCTTGTGATTAATTTGATTAGGACATATGTGTCATCTGATATCATCAAGAGAATTCTAAGAGACTACTTCGGCTATGATGTAAAGGTAAGTTGATATTTGCAGGAAGATAAAAACTATGATTGATAGTAATTTGTGACCATGATTAGCGTAATTATGGTCTTCAATTCTTACGTCATCATTTACACGTATAACTCAATCTTCTTGTATAGATGTGCATGAATATCACTGATATTGATGACAAGATCATCCGTAAAGCTATCGAGTCAGGTCAAAGATTTGATGAGATCAGCAGAAAGTATGAGACTGATTTCTTGCAAGATATGAAGGACTTGAATGTTGAACTTCCTGATGTCATCACAAGAGTATCAGAGTTTGTTCCAGAAATTATTACCTTTACTGAAAAGATTATTGCCAACGGCTTTGCTTATGAGTCAAATGGCTCAGTATACTTTGATGTAGCAAAGTTCAATGATGGTGAGAAGCATAAATATGCAAAGCTTGAACCAACTTCAGCCACTGATACTGAGAAACTCAAAGAAGGTGAAGGAGTGCTTACAGATGCAGAAACCACTGAGAAGAAAAATCAGTTTGACTTTGCTCTCTGGAAAAAGTCAAAGCCAGGTGAACCAGTTTGGGACTCACCTTGGGGACAAGGAAGACCAGGATGGCACATTGAATGCTCAGCAATGGCTGCTGAGTTCTTTAAAGAATTCCCAATTGACATTCACTCTGGAGGAATTGATCTAAGATTCCCTCATCACGATAATGAAATTGCTTAATCTGAGGCTTATTACGACTGTGACAACTGGATAAACTATTTCATTCACACAGGTCATCTCCACATTGAAGGAAAGAAAATGTCCAAGTCTCTAAAGAACTTCATTACCATTAGATACATTCTCGACCAATACTCTGCAAGATAGATTAGATTCTTATTCTTGCTTCACAACTGGGATAGTTTGATGAACTATTCAACTCTTAAATCCATGCCCGAAGCCATTGAGAAAGAAAGAAAATTCTCTGAGTTCTTCAAGAACCTCAAGGCAATCATGAGGTAATGCGACATTCAAACTACAGAGTAGAAATGGAATGCCAAGGACTATGAACTCGATACTCTTCTCACTCAGAAGCAAGTACTAGTTCACGAAAGACTAGCAGACAGCTTTGATACTCCAGCTGCTGTCAACCACCTTTCAGATATCATTTCTGCTACTAACACTTACTTGCAGCAAGATAAGAAGCTGATTAAACTTCCATTATTGAGAAAGGTTTCCAAGTATGTTCTAAGAATCCTTAAAGTCTTTGGTGTTTACGACGATGATGTATTCCCAGCTTAAGTTGAAGGTCAGACTCAAAATAAAGAAAAGATGATTGCACCATATGTTAACGCTTTATCTAAATTCAGAGACTTAATTAAGGAAAATGCTGATAAGGGTCCAAAGGATTTAATGGTGTTGTGCGACTAGCTAAGAGACGATGTCCTTCCTCATTTAGGCATAAGATTAGAGGATAGAGCAAAGGGAGTAGAAGCAATTTGGAAATATGAAGATAAAGACGTGCTATTAAAGGAAAAAGAAGCTAAAATCAAGGAGAAAGAGAAGAAAGAAGAAGAAAAGAAACAAAGAAAGGAGCTTGAACTTAGAAAGGTATACACATTATCATTTAAATAATTCTTAATAGAAATCTACACCTGGTTCAGAGTGGTTCAAGGTATTCTTTGCTGACAAGTATTCTTAATTTGATGCTGAAGGACTTCCAACTCACGGACCCCTAAAGTAAAAGGCACCTGGAGCAGATGGACCAGAGTAAGTTTAGGGAGAACTACTAAGTGAGTCCATTAGAAATAAACTGAAGAAAGAGTAAAATAAACAAGATCAAGTCTATCAGAAATACTTAAAGGAGTTAGAGTCCCAAGGCCCTTCAAAGCAGGAACATGAGGAGGAGAAAGCTCAATGACTCAAGTTGACTTAATGAAACATTCAGATCATTTGTTTAAGAGTGATGAAATCAAATTTAACTTTATAATCATTAAGAACATAATATCTCAATGACATTTAAGCTATTAATTATATGATCAATTGATACTAGTATTTAATTTCTTATTCAACAAAGATTTACAAATAACCACAAGAGTTATTTACAGAGGGGCGGGAGATCTAAGTAATCTTGCCACCATGTTTGATTCGAAATATTCTATAAATAAGGATACAGCATCCTTTAGTCACTTGAATAATTCAAACGGTCATCATAGAGACGATCTTCATTTGAATTTATTTACAAAACTTGAATAGTCACAGAATGTAATATATTCTCTGTCCTACCCCTCGGGTATTACTTCTTTAATTAATTTTAATGCAAGAGTGTCGATCACTCCGAAAAATTCATCGTCTTCAAGGCAGTACTGTTTCAGTTTATTCTTAAGACACTGCCTGTCGATGTGACCTTTGTCTGGGTTCTACAAAGTTTTAAAGATATTCCAGATCTATTGCTTGGAAAAATCATTTATATCAGTATTCAAAGCAATGAAATCTGAGTAGCTTAAGTAACTCTAGCCCTTATTCTGGAAGCAAATCTATTCAATGTAATCTTGATTCTCACTTAAAGCATCTGCATTTAATTTCAGGTCTTGGAGTTTTAAGAGGCCATCATTGTCATTGTCTAAATTTAGAGTGAATTTATTCAGAGAAACCCTTGATTAAGATTTCATGTTTTAGGACAGTTCTTTCATACAGAGGTGAAAGAATAAGTTGTTTTTCTTGAAGCTATTGATCATGCTACATTATACGCTTTTCTTTAAATAGATGTCAGAATCATTTTTAATTTGGCTAAAAAATGGATGGTCTAGGGCATCATCCGCGCTTAATCTTATTATTGGACTCTTGGTTACAAGCTTTTTGATAAGATCTTGGAGGTCTTTAGAATAATTTGACCAAAGAGTTTATTTAAAAACCAATCCTCCTTTGGTTATGCTCTCGAGAACATCATCCGTACATTGACCTAGGAATGGAAACGTTTAGGTAACCATGAAATATAGAAGTATTCCAATTGACCACATATCACATTTCTCATTATAAGCCTACTTTATCACTTCAGGGGCTATATAGTAGGGTGAGCCAACCATCTTCTTAAAAGAATTGAGCCTCTTTAAGTCCTTCGAGTCCTCTTTCATATCGATTCTTGAACAAAATCCAAAGTCACAAATCTATATGCTGATGTCATTACAATCCTGATACTATATCAATATGTTCTCAGCTTTAATATCTCTATGTGCGAAGCCCTTCTTATGAATGTAAGATACAGCCTTTAGCACCTAGTACACAATTTTTGCACATGTCTCTTCTTTGATCGAACCTTGGAGATTTTTCAAATAAGATGACAAATCCCCTCCATTGCAAAATGACATATCCAAATGGTAATCGTTTTCATCTTGATAGACTTGATGGAGTTTAACTATATTTGGATGGTCCATCTGAGAAAGGCTGTCATACTCATTAAGAAATTGCGATTCTTTTAGCTTTTTAATGGATTTTATAGCTCTAGCTTATCCTAAGCTTTTCTTATCAACAGCCATATGGACAACTCCATAGGACCCTTCGCCAATTAATTTTTGAAATTCATAAACTTTATGAATGTCTAAGCAAATTAAGATGGGAATAAATTACTCTGATTTATGATGACGCCGTTGACTCTTTATCTGATCGTATCAATTAATTTTAAATTATCTACATTAGGTATCATTAGATTACGTCACGGAATGTTAATAAAATTACTTTCTTAGAGTTGCACTTTGCTATTAGTTGACTCGTTTGAAGCATGATCTTATTGAGTAATTTAGGAGAATAAACCATGTTCGTGATTGGAGCATTGCTAAGTAGATCTGCTCGTTATATCACCTCTCTTCACTTGCTGACAAACACTCTCAAAATCAAATGACTCTTTATTTGACAACCTCTCTTTTTGCTTTCCTGTTTAAATTTAGAAATTGAGTGAGGAAAGTACTTTGAGGTTTTTCAGTGTTTCTTCTGGCAGAAAAAGTGCTTTGTTTCTTTTGGAAATAGGGTTTTTCTTGCTTATGAGGTTTGCAAGCTGACAGGCAATGTTAATTACCCATTAATAAGAATTTAGATATAAATTAAAATTTATTAAATACTAGTTCGGCCCTCCTTTTAAATGTAATAATAAATACTAATATAGAAACATATATAAACTTTCAATATTCTTTTCTATTAATACCTAGTCTTTGAAAAGTTAGGCACTTTTTTTAATAATTAACATTTTAATGATTGATTTTAATTTTATTAATTTTTTAATTTCATACTATTTATTATTAACTTGCATCTAGGGGTTTTGGGGTTTTGGGGTTTTGGGG